GATAGGGTAAGGAGCTCGGTCATTCGGGAGGGACTCAGAGTAGAGCCGCTGCTCCTCCGCATTGAGAGGAGCCAGATGAGGTGGCTCGGGCATCTGGTTAGGATGCCTCGTGGATGCCTCCCTGGTGAGGTGTTCCGGGCATGTCCCACTGGGAGGAGGCCCCGGGGAAAACCCAGGACACGCTGGAGGGACTATGTCTCTCGGCTGGCCTGGTAACACCTCGGGATTATATACTTGTGTATACTTGTTTTGAAGATATTCATATTGAAATACAAATGTCTCAAAAATGCTTGCAATAAAGTATCTTGCGAATCGCGCAAAACTCTCTATATGAAATTCTCTTCTTATAATTTGCGCACCGATATCTGTTGTTTGCTCATCCATGAATGGCAAGGCCATGACTGAACGGATTTCCATGCACAGACACAGGTTAAGTGTGCGAGCTAATCGTAGAACAAACCTGCTCCGCTGCTATGACAACACATCCAGCAAGAGTTTCAAAAAACCAACAGATCCAGGATCATGCCAAATCATCAACAATTACATGAGTAATCCACGTACGAAAAATACCCCCAGGTAAGCAAAGATAGCTAATAAGGAAGAGAAAACCAGAAAACCTGAACAGCCCCCCAACCCCTGCCTTAGAGCTGCATACTCAACCCATTGAGCTACACGGCAGCCTGGGGAGCGTGAAAAACACACTAAGGAATAGATTTACGCAAGAGAGTGGGGAGAGCATGGTGACCAGCGATGCCTGCTGTCCAAAAGTTAGACAGGTACCGGCCCTGACAATAAACATTGCTCTCTACTTTTACAACAGATGCTAATAGGTGGTACAGGTGGTACAAGCATGAACTGGCAGTTTCAATATAGAATATATGGACTATACTGTATATGGCCATTGCACCTACAGGAACTTTTGACATCCCATTATAAATCCATAGGCATCAAGATGGAGTTGGTCCCTCCGTTGCTGCTATAACAGCTGCCACTCTTCTGGGAAGGCTTTCCACAAGATTTCTGAGTGTAGCTCTGGGAATTTTTGCCCATTTATCCAGAAGAACATTTATGAGGTCAGGCACTGATGTTGGATGTGAAGTCCTGATTCGGAATCTCTGTTCTAGTTCATCCCAAAGTTGTTCAATGGTGTTGAAGTCAGGGCTCTGTGGGGGGTGAGGCAAGTTCTTCCACACCACACTCACCCAACCATGTCTTTATAGACCTTGTTCTTGTCATGCTGGAACAGAAAAGGGCCTTTTCTAAACTGGTTCCACAAAGTTAGAAGCACAGAATTGTCCAAAATGTCTTGCTATGCTGAAGCATTAAGAGTTCCCTTCACTGGAACTAAGGGGCCTAATCCAACCCTGAAAAACAACCCCATACCATTATCCCTCCTCCACAAAACTTCACAGTTCGCGCAATGCAGTCAGGCAGGTACTGTTCTCCTGGCATCTGCCAAACCCAGACTCATCCATCAGACTGCCCAACAGAGAAGTGTGATTCGTCACTCCGCCAAGTCCAGTGGCATTGTGCTTTACGCCACTCCATCCAACACTTGGCATTACACTTGGTGATGTGAAGCTTGCATGCAGCTGTTCAGCCATGGAAGCCCATTCCAAGTTTTTGTGTTGGGGTTAATGCCAGAGGAAGTTCGGAACTCTGCAATTACTGAGTCAACAGAACATTGG